TCCTAAAACATTTCTTTTTGCTTTACCATAGCCTTATTGTATAGGGTGGGCACTGATACCTTCATTTTAGGTGTTGGGCATCCAGGACACAGAGCAGTCACGCAGCTTTAGAAGGATCTCATGGTGTTTCTTCCTGCCCCATTTATTACTGTGGTCTTTATTAATGGATTAATTGAAATATACAGATAATTATTAAGGACTTACTAAATACTTCTATATTCTGGGTGGCCAAAAGAGCCTGTTTGACAGTCTAGGGTTTATAGAAAATGCAATGTGAGTGTTGCTCTGTAAAGAGTGATTGTAATTTACTGACCGGAGGCGGCCCCTAAGGTTGTGCAACAAAATGACACTGATTATTGAGCAACATATGGTCAGCAAATCAAGAAACTCATAGCTCTGTTTGGGAATTTGGATGTAGGGGATGGGTAGCATAACGCATAAGGAAAATTACTGTGTGCAACAAAACAGAGCATTAAAAGTACTATAGAGAGTTTGAATAAAAATTCTATGGTATGTATGTTGGAGAGAGAGATTGGCTGCAAATCTGGAAAGGTTTCCATCACGTCCTGTGTTAATTAATGATACGATTTCAGGCAGAACTGCAAGGTGGTAGGATTATTGGAGTGCAAAGGAACAAGAAAATATCCAAGAATATCTAACAAGGATGACGTTTTTGAGGGAGTTGTTTTGTGGGAATATGCAGTGTGAAAACAGGCTGGAAATAGGCGGGATTCAGCTAAATTACTGAGAACTTCACATTCCAGCTTCTAGAATTTGGGCGATAGACAAAGGGAAATATCAGCCCTGGAATCAAGAAAGCAGGCCATGGGTTCAACTTCATGAATGTGAGTTTCAGCTCAGGTGCTTACTAGCTGTTAAGCAAGTTGTGTAATCACTTTATGTCTCATTTTCTCCAACTTCAAAATAAAATACATACATACAGTCATATTTGAGTTGTTTGAAGGATTAGATTAAATGTGCTAAAACATGGAGAATGATTAGGGTAATATCAGGAATAAAATGAGGTTTAACATCAATGTTATTTTTTTAATGGTTGCTATTGTTTGAGCTGAGTTGGGGGCAGTTTATTATGGGAAGGTTAAAATGAAATTGATAATGGCAGCAGAAATGTAAGTTGATAAGGCAACTGCAAGAGAGGCAAGATAAAATGGAAAGGTAGGCTCTAGTTTCAAGTTTTCGTATCAATATTTATTTGTAGACTTAGAGCCTTGAGCCAATCACTTAACATTTTGAATCAAATCCTATTTTTTGTTAGTTATAACATGGGATAGATGATAACAATGTGAGTGATTTAAGGAGATTGAATATTAGCTATGAATGAGAGTTGTTTAATAAACTGTAAATTTAAAAAATTCCCATTATTAATACTAGAATCTTAGGAAGGGATAGCAATAGTTTGATTCTGAAAGTAGAGGAGAAATGGATAAGTTTATGGAGGAAAATCTGATAAATAATTAATGGCATCCAGACTAGGAAGTGATGAAGCCATGAAATGACAATAATCGAATATTCTTAGTAACAGCCAGATGATAATAATTTTGTTATTTCTGGCATTGTCTTACACACAGTGATGACCATTTGTCTGTGTTCTTTGTTTACCTTCAAAGGAAATCTGGCATATTTATGGGGCCTCTTGTTAGAAACTTAAATTCACATTAAAAATCTGCTGTATGTAAAGCGGAATTTGCTTCTTTCCCCTTCTACAAACAAGTTCATTCATCTCAATGGAGATTTGTTGAATGATTACCTTGGCCCATATTAATCTTGCCCACATCTTATCCATCATTTCTATTTTATTATGTATTGTTCTTTGTCATTTGTTTTGTCTTGCTTTATCCTCATTGATACTGTAGTGAGCAGGGGATAATTCTTATATTTTCTCTTCTCCCCTCATGCCCATACCACCTAATTAACATGGAGAACTTAACTGTATGGCTTGGCATCCTTACCTACCAGAATATACCCAAACATAGGATAATGACTTTCCATTCAGTACATCAATGTAGATGAGTGTGGAGCAGCATAGTTGCTTCTCTCATGCTGTCCCTTCACTGATAAAGCTCAATTCCTCTGCTTCATGACATCACTTTGGTTTAGTTTAGTTTTTATTATTGCTGGTAATCTTGGCTTATGTGATGGCCACTACTTAGAGGTATATGTGATTTTCTTAGTGTTTATAGTATTTCCTTTCCATTTTGGCCCTTTCTATTCTTCAGAGAAGGGCAGTCATGCCACCATTTAACCTCACCTTTCTTCAACCCATTCTCTGAGTTGTGCATAACTTCACTTTGACCTGGCAACCTTCTAGGCAACCCTACAACTTTTGTCCACTTCTCTAAGTTTCCTGTGTTTATACAAGAGCTGAAGTTGTGTATGTTCTTTCATCATTTTATTCCTAGGCATGCTATATAATGATCCCTTCCATCCCTGATGTCAAAGGATACTCTGGTAAACATGCAGCTTGCAGGAAACTCTGAAAAAAGCAGGTCTAGTCTCTATGTTCAGATTTGGCCCAAAGTCAGGGGATATATGTCAAGCTCTCATAGATACTGGATCATTTTTTTTTAATATTTACTTATTTTTGGTAGACAAAGAGACAGAATGCAAGCAGGGGCGGGGCAGAGAGAGAGG